AGGGTGAAAGTGATTCAGTGGCCAAGTATGTGTCCTTATATGAACCCATTCTTCAAGAACTCTTGAAGAATGGAAAAAGATAGATGTTGCAATATGTCGCCAACTTGTTCATTCCATGCCTAGAAGACTTGGTGCAGTCCTTAAAAATCATGGAGGTCACACAAAATACTAGATGCAGTAGTTTTAATGTTGGGTGTATTCATTTTTGCTTCGCCTAATTTGAGTAAAACTGAAGATTCTGTAATTGCAGTTATATTATTAACTTTACTTTCATGTAATAAGCTAAACAAATGTTCTACAAAACTCGGTTTTGTAAAAATTTTGGAAATTGTTCTTGTGTTCACTGAGATACGGATTAAAATCTTACTGTTTAAAGGGGTGTACTCATTTATGCTGAGCACTATATATCGGTGCTCTTTTTTAAAAATGTTTTACAGTCCTCTCCCTACCATGTTCCTGGGACCCACGATAAGTGGAACTGGGGTGGGTCGACATGGACTATCCTTTGGTCTGTGCTGATACTAATGATCTCTGCTCTGCGTTGGGATGTTTATATTGCTATCTATTTTGGTATTATGGTACCGCTTGCATGCTGTTATATGTTCTGCTGACAATGTTCACAGGTCCACTCAACTGTACATTCTTTCTTTTGTGATTTTCTGTTTTCTTTTTGTCTTGGTGAAATTGCCTATTCACTGTTTTTTGCTGTAATTAAAACCCTTAATTAAGTCAGATTGAACTAAAAGATTAAATATGGATCCAGGAATTACCATATGGGGTCCTAGTACATATATTCGAGGTACTCCCATTATTCCCAGTAGAATGACAAGGCTGGGGTATCTTTAATCGTTTAAGTGATTGACGAAAGTCGGTTATGGAAGATGTAAGATGTCTATGGAAATAGGCAATTCTGCTGCTTATGAATATGGAACTACCATATCTGTGTGAGATATTAACCTTTTTGTCATATATGGGTGCTGTCCATTGAAAAACTCCTGTGCCAGTGTGAAATAGGTGGGGGCTTCAGGTCTTTATCTCTTAGCTACACCAGCTCCTTCGCCCCGTTCATCTAAGAGGCTGGACTGCAACCTGAGATGTGACCCACAGATATAAAATATGTTGCAACGGTCACCAAGGTGTGCTTACTTGGGGCCAAAATCTAATATTGTAGTAAGTTGCCAGTTTCCTTACCGGAAGCCCCCTGGGATAGAATCAAGTGCTTCTGTAAGTAGGATTTCTATAACTTTTCTCCTTTTTTATTTTTGATCTGTTTGTATTGTATAACTGTCTTATGTCACATCAAATTGTAAATATATGCATTGTGAATACTTTTTTCTTCATAATAAATCAAGTTCCTGCCTTTGTCTGGTTTATACCACATATGTTCCTGAGGAGGTTCTTTTAGTAATTCTATACCTTATATGCATTCGGCTGAATTTAATGGAGAACTATGAGGTGAGTGGAAATCACTCATCCTCATAGTTGGAGCCGACGTGTGACAATGAAACGGTCACATGTCGGCTCAATATGAAAGTGAGCAAACACATACCATCGCTCACTCACTTCTCGATCATCTCCCTGCAGAGAGTGGTGACTGTCACTCCCCGCAGGGATTCCCCCCTCCCCTGTCCGATCCTCCAGCGCAGATTGGAGGAACGAACGGGGGAGGGGGCGGGTACAGCTAGCTCTGCCTCTAGATAGTCATTCACGCAGCTGGGTGGATCTCGACAGCATTGTCAGGATCCGTCCCGGCTGTGGTGGTCTCAGTATTCTGCGAGCTGTAGCTTGCGATATACTGAGCTTTGGGTCACGGGAGGACGCTAGTATATGTCCTCCCTGGACCCTTAAAGTATAATTAAAGCCTCAGGTTTTTTTTGCACATATCTACTGCTTGCAAGCAGTAGATATATGCAAAAAGTGTTTTTTTTTTAAAACAGCCGGGAGACGAGGAGGCACACAAGGTAAGTATATGGACGCATGCTCCCACATGCAGAGACTGTGGCACAGGAAGTGCCAGCAAGGACAGAGGAGTCAGCACTGGATCGGAGACCCGCAGCAGCGCTGGAGGGACAGATGAAAAGGACAGGAAAGAAGAAGAAGATCGGATTAAGAAGCATCATTTAAGTTAAGTGCTTTAATTAACATAGGGGGGGAGGGGAAAAATTTGACTTTAATGTCACTTTAAAAGAACTATGGAGAAAAACACTTACCCCATAGTTCTCTTTTAAGTTTCAGGTGCCTTTATACGTTACCCTGGGAATTATATACAAAATTTTGAATTGAATGTTAAACCAGGTGTGGTTTGGTGGCAGCATTCTTTAGATTAGATGAAGTAGGTGGTGTGTAAAGGTGCCCATACACTATACAACCCTCGCAAGACTTTTGTCTTGCGAGGGTTGTAAAGTAATTTAAAAAATGTACGATCTGCCCATCTTGGACAGGCAGATCGTACTTGGGATCATTGCAAGCCCGCCCCCCTGAGGGGCGGGCTTCTGATGACTGCAATGCTGAACGGGCGTGCGCATGGGCGTGCGCACACCGGCCTGTTCAGCAGTTGTCTCTCGATCATGTTAAAAACCAGCTGAAAATCATACGATTCTCGTACGAGATTTACCGCGATTCTCGTACGAGAATCGTGCAGTGTATGGGCACCTTAAGTGGGATCTTTAATCATTATTTCCTGTGAAGTGAAAGACAGATAGTGATTTTTTAACCCTCTCACCACCTAAATAAGTCACGTGGCCACTTGGAGTAGTGTGCATTTGTGACAGCTTACTCTATACTAGAACCTTTTTGTCCAGCTATAAACCTGCCACTGTCAACCTGACCTACTCCATACTTTTTGGATCTGCACAGGACACAGAGGCATCCAACAATAATGCAGAGTAAGCATTAACAGATGACAAGGAGAAGAATATGAACAGCAGGCCAGCACCTGTTTAGACCCACTGTGATGAACGGCTGGTCTGCAACCAATGTGCTGCAACCAATATTAGACAACGTCGCCAAGAAAGTACCCCACCCAATCAGAAAGGCCCAGGGGTACAAGACAGATGGGCTGAAGTGCTTTATGATATTTCACCTGTCCCTCCCATGCATGCAGTCATATTTTTATTCACCCACATACTACCATCTAATAAACCATAGATAATTATCATACATTATGAAATTAGCTTTTTATACACACCGTCAGTATGGCATGCCACCACCAGTAAGCATCACAGGCATTGTTTAAGTTGGAATTGTTGCAGCATTTAATGGGAATGGTGTTTGCTTTCATTAAAACACACGGTGGCAGCTATTGTTTGTGTGTGTAAAGGGTTAACTGTGGAGTTAACCAACCCCAGTGACTATTGTTCTCACTCTGATGGCCTTAGATTGTTGTTCTGTGAGATGGAAAATCTCTGTGCAGAGTGAGGCTGACAGGGGCATCATCACAGAAGGTGACAGAGGAGGCAGTGAGACTGACTTGTGGAAGAGAGGGGGAGAGGAGCAGCAAGACCAGCCGTAAACTTCTCGTGGGTATTTGCTATAAACCTCCAAATATAGGGGAAGAGGGAGAAGTCAATCTTCTCTCACAGATAGGAATAGCTGGGAGAGAGGGCAATGTAGTCGTGATGGGTGACTTCAATTACCCAGACATAAATTGGGCCAATGGAACTTCGGGTTCGGCAAAGGCGGGGCGATTTCTAAACATGTTGCGCGACAATTTCATGGACCAGATGGTGGAGACTCCTACCAGAAAAAATGCCATCTTAGATCTAATTGTCACTAATAATGCAGAGTTAATCGAGGATATTGTAATTGGGGAGTCATTGGGTAATAGTGATCACAATGTGATTACTTTTAATATTGAACACAGTAAAAAAATTCCAGCACAAGGGGCGAAGGGGGTTCTTCACAGTAAGATCAGTTAGGGTCTGGAACTCACTGCCACAGGCGGTGATTTCAGCAAATAATGTGGAATTGTTCAAGAAACTTTTGGATGATTTCTTAAGGGACCGCAATATACAGGGGTACAGGTACTCCTAGAATGAGATCCTAATAGGTTGGACTTGATGGACTAATGTCTTTATTCAACCTCAAATACTATGTAACTATGTAACTATGGAGAGGGAGTGTAAAAGGCAGTGTAACTGGAGTATGATGGTTAAAGGAAGGCAGTAAACCTGGATCATACAGACGGAGAAGAAAAGAAGCTGCAAGGCTGAAATGTCTAGGAGGGAAAAGAAAGGAGGAAACCACAATATAAAAAGGGGGGGGGGGGGACACACT